TCTGTGATACCTTCTTCTAACCATCCTAGTTCTACAAGACGAAGTGCTTCTAAAATTTGACCATAAAGCAATAAGTCATTAGGTGTAATATGACCTGAGTCACTTAACGCAAGGTCTTTTGCAATATACTCAATATTGCATGGGCTTTTTGTAGGTGTAGTTAGAACTTGATCTAGAATTTTGCTATTAATATATCTACAATTTTTGTCACTCAGTCCTCTGATGTAATCTATAATTTCTGATTTCTGAATCTTATTCATCAATCTACTAGATCAGGTTGTTTAGATAATTCACATGCACTTATTTGTTGTAAAATTATTAGTTGTTTTGTTAAATCCTAGCTGGAATAGTGATTACCAAATTGGAAATGTGTTTGGTTTGTTTGTTGTTGTTTGTTTATATTATGTAATCATGTGCTACAATCTTCTGTTTTTCTAGGCTAACGACAAATTCCCAGAATTACAAAAAAACTTGAGAATTTTAAAATTTTGTTACGAAAAACCAAGAAATTTTGTATTTGTTGTTTGAGAAGTTTATTTTCCTTTGTATTCTAATAAAGCTATGATGGCTTCTGATACTAGAAGCTTTTTCTAATACTATAATAAGTGCTTGCTTTACTACTTTCCATTGTATCTTTAGCTTTGTACTTTTCGGGTTTTTTCCTAAATTAGAGATCAGCAGAAAGAGTTGTGAATGATTTTGAAACAAATTTATTTATTACAATAAAAAAATTTTTTTATCAGTAAGAAAACTAAAAAATATTAATACATATATACAATTTGCATGTTACTTTATTATTTTATGAAATATTATCCAGTTAGATCTAATGAATAAGGATTCTAAATAAGAAAGTAAAAGTCATTAAGCTTTAAGTATTTATAACATAAGACTAGAAGTTTAATGAACTTTCACTAATACTAATATATAACTTCATTGGCTCAATATACTAATATATAGTGTTTAAACTTAAGTCAGACAAAGAGACAACTGAAATTGTATAGTATAAGTATTTACTTTTTAAGTTGATAATTTATTTTGTTTAGATTTATTACCAAGTTCTTTTTCTAATTTATTTACTAAAGATTTTATATTGTTATATATTTTATACTTGTAATATTCTTCACAATGATGACAACTAAATTCTATTTTTTGATAGTATTAGAAATGATATCTATGCTTACAGATAAGTATTTCACTATCTCTAAGATTTTAAAAACAATAATCACAAACATCTGACCAAGAAGGTATATTAGTACTATATGCTGTTGAAAGGCATTTTGCATCAACTGTTACTTCTAAGGTAATTAATCTATATAGTTTTTTTTTATACTTATTTATTTCATATAGCTTACTTTTTTCATAATTTTTAAAGAGTTTGCAAAAGTGTTCTAATAAGAATAAAGCTATTTTTTTGTAAGAAAATTTAATTCATATAGCTTATACAGGTAATGTCTTGTTTTTTCAAATATGTTGTTAAGTTTACAATAGGTTTGTGCATCTAATAATATTATTAATTATTTTATATATTAGTTAATTAAAAAAAAAAATTTATACTTACCAATTATATAAGCTTGCTTAATTATATTACTAATACTATTAGTTGTAAAAGTATAAGATTGTATCTTACTATACATGTTTTCAACATAGTAATTATTAAAATTTATTAAAAATAATTTTATTATCTTAATAAAAAAATAATTAGTATCTTGCTAATAAAAGATATCAAACAAGAATACTAAGAATGCTTTATTATAATTGTACTAATTCCATCTAAGAGCAAATGTTTAGAACTAAAAAACAGTTTTTACATATATGTCAAATGAACTGGATCAGAAAAGGATAGTATAAATATTTAGAGCTGTTGAAATTATGATATCTAGCAAATCAATAATCATACAATATTCAATATTTTATAGCAACTGAATTTTACAGTAATTAAGTTTCAAATTTTATATCATCTATTATAAATAAGGTTAAAAAGTAAATTAATCCTTCATGGCTTTGGTTTTTTAGTAAGCTTTTTATTTTTACTAAATATGAAATAAAACATTTTTTTAAAAAAAGGATAATAAGTTATTAACACTTGCTCTTTACAATTTAAGAAGATATGAAGAGGCTCAATAATTAGAATTAAAAAATTAATTTTAAGTGATATATAATATTATGAATTCATTTTATGCAAATTTGTTATTGCTTTGTGAATAAACAACTGTTTAGGCCAATCTGCTACTATCAAGGTAATTCTATTAGCTAAGTATTTAATTTTATTGTTAATATTTAAAATAATTTAAAGTTCCACAATGTAATTCTTTATAAAATGCAGATTTTCTTCTTTAATTCTAACTAATCTTATGTCTTTTATTAAATTTTTTTTTTTTTCTTTGAAATTTTATTATTATAGATATAAATTATAAGTAATTTAGTTCTATCAAAGTTATTAATATTTAGGTTATTATACTTAAGTCACTGATTCTTACAATTCATATAAGCAATATTGAATATTCTACAGTACTGATGAATTAACCAAAAACAGATATTATTTGCATCAATATTTATTAAATTATGAATTGATATGTTATTGAAGACCAAAGAAACTAGCACACAGGCTAATACTTGTTTGCAAATATAAGTTGTTATATGTTTTGCATCAGATAATTATACAGAATTTGGTCTTCTTTTTTTATAAATGTTATAATAATCATTTAAATTATAAATATTTAGATTATTATCCTATAAACATTATAATATAAAAACATTTGTAATTTTATATTTAGTTTATTATAAATTTATTTATTAATTATGCTAATCTAATTTTTTTTATTTTTAAGATATTTTTGAGTCATGCTAAGAAAAAAATTGTATATTCTTAAATTTTTACTAATTTCACCAATAAAAATCAAGAATATCTAATTTTTTTCTTAGTATTCAATAAAAACAAACATATAATATTAATGTTTTTTAATACTTATTATATATTTATCTGTTTAAAGAAATAATTTTTATTTTTTAGAAGATTTATTTACAATCCTATTCATATAATTATTAGCAGTCTGATAACAAGAAAAAACTTCAATATTATGCATTGTGTTAATTATAGTATGTGATGTTTCTGATATCAAAAGATATAGACCAACTTCTAACTTGAAGTCATTTACAAATTTATTTTTAATTTTTGCCATTAGATAGCACATGTTTACAATAGTTTTTTTGTTTTGACTTTGTTATAAATAGATCTAGTATTAGAAATTAGCATTTCTATTATTTAATTAAAAAAACTTTCTAAATGTGAGTCTGTTGTTTTAATCATTTGTTAAAAACAAACTAGATCAAGTTTTAAGCTATTAGATTTATAACACTTTTTATATAGAAGAGTTGTAAGCATTTTGAATTGTTTAACAGATATATAATTTGCTAATTCTAATAAAATATAGATTAAAAAAAAAAAAGTAACAAATATGAATGCTGATCATGTGTTTGATACATTACTAATTATCAGTAATAGTGACAGAAATAATTTTTATTCCTGTAAATTACAGAACCAAGAATTGTTCCTGTTATTACTAATACCTACTTAATAATTAGGTATTAAAATTTTCTAATAATATATTTATTATTTTGAACCACAATATTATTGTTTGTTTGATTTTCATTATACTTGCAACTTTGATCTTTATCTGTTTCTACAGAACTAAGAACCTTTATTTAATGTCTATCAGGTTTAATAATGTGCATATAATGATTATAACACAATTGTTGTCCAATTGTTAAATAGTTATAATCAGTATAACTTCTTTTTTGAGAGGTTTTTTCATATACCAATTAAGTAAATTAGCAAAAGCAATTAGTATTTTCATTGCAATTATAGACAGAGCATGACCTTTCATTTTTTGAATAATCCATAATTAGAAATTTTTATTCAAAATTTTATTAAAAGTTTTATAAATCTAAGTTTTAAAAGCAAAATAACATATTGATAATAAAAGGTAAAAAATAAATTACAATTTCATAATTATTACCTAATCTGAATTTAAAGCATATACAGCATACCAAAAAAAACTATAACACTAAAAAAAAAATAACAAAAATAAACAATGAAAACAACGCGAATTTATTATGTAACTAGCTTCTTGCTGTTTAATATTAATACTAGTCTTAACTTTTAGATTAACATTAAATACCAAATTAACATTAATATTATAATAGTAATGCCTCTCACGCGAGAAGATTATAAATATCTTTCCACAAAATACTAGTAAAAGAATATGTATAATTTTACTCGAATACGTGCGAGGTTATATTACATAACTGATAAGTAATTTGCAAGATCGATAGTAGATATGGCTTTATTAAATTAACCAATCGGAATTTTTAATTACGTTGATCATCATCAACCAATAAAATCAAACTTTACTAATGCTATCCGCATGCCCTAATTATTTTATGGCAAAATACGGTAAGTTACTTTTTTAATGCTTTTTAAATTATTAGTCTATGAAAATATCAAGAATACAATTAGTGCAAAATGTAGAACAATATATCTATAATACTTGTTAAAATATACACAAAATAAACGTGCATTTAAAAAGATAAAATCCATAAGTGTTATACGTAGAACGTGTATTTAGAGGGTTGCATTAGGAACATAAGGAATGAATAATATATAATATATAAGAATAAGAATCGATAAACTACGTAGGAAAATGTTTTTAAAACTAAAAGGGAGAACAATACTTGAAAATAAATCATAATTGTATTGTGATCACACGCGACACCAGACTCGAGTGAAACTAATCATAAATGTCGATGGAAAATGTATGTAACACAACTATGATTTTAAGCGATAACAATACAAAACACAAGAAACAATGTAAAAAAAAAAGATAATTTTATTAATAATTTACAATAAAATGTGTTAATCGCGAAAAAAAATTATAGAAAATCGGTTACTGTTTTATCGTTTATAGATTAAAAAAAAGACTGACCAGATAGCTGAGCCTAACATGAATCATAGCCTTCACGGCTCAGCCTGGTCAGGTTTTTATAAAAAGGCTTTAAACGAACGTCAAAATCAACTAAAGCTTGCTTTTCCGGATTTATTTAATCTACCATCTACAAGTACTGTTCCTTCAGTTTATGCTACACCTTCAAGCTCTGTTTGTAGTTCTCCCTTAAGTCCTACTTGCAGTTCTCCTGTCTCTTTAAACTATTCCAAAGAAAATGAATTAAACAATACGTTTAATAGTATAAATGACGAACAAATTAATTACTTAGTAAAAAAATTAGAGTCATTATCTGTTGATCAGAATCCATTTCCAATAAAAGGCCTTGAAGAACATATTGCAGATAAAATGGTTGAAAATTGTGTAGGGTAAATGTTTTGATTTTGCTGTTGACTTATTGGATAAAACTATGAATCTTAATTTTTGATCCAAATTTTGTATAGGACAATAGGTTTACCGGTTGGATTGGCTCTTAACTTCATAATCAACGGAAAGCCAATAATTATTCCCATGGCGATCGAAGAAGCCTCAGTTATTGCTGCTGTTTCGGGAGCAGCAAAAACAATCTCATCATATAGGGGGTTCACCGCAGTGGCACCTAAAAGAAACTCGATAATAGCTCAAGTCATTCTTTTAGATATACCTCAAAATTCTATGAGTCATGCCGTAAATGAGGTTTGAAACATATTTTATTATTTTTTATGGAATTTATAATGTATACTATAAATATGTTTTTTTTTTTGATGAAAATGTTCTTAGTTATTACATCAAAAGTCGAATATCATTAAATTTGCCAACCAGTTTTGTGACAGTATGGTTAAACGGGGAGGTGGAGTATTTGATATGTCAGTTAGAAGGATCTCACGCGTAAATAATCGAAATCCAAAACATCATCCAATTGGTTCTGAAAAGTTCAAAGAGTGGTTAGTGGTGCATTTGCATCTTGATGTGTGTGACTCTATGGGTGCTAATTGTGCAAGCAAAGTTGCTGAAGGTGTAGCGCCACGCCTTTCTGAATTGACTGGTGGTCGAATCGGCTTAAGAATTTTGAGTAATTTAAGCGTAGAAAGGATGGCAAAGGTAATTGATTAACACTGTTGGACACGGCATTCAGTATACTCCAAAAATAATACCTCTTTGATTAAGACTGGGTATTGTACGCTGCACGCCTGGCCAAATTCCTGAATAATACCTGAGGGTATAACCATATTTTGATATATCCCCAAAATATAGTTTGCAGTTCCTCAAACGGATGCTATTCACTTTATTTCTACTAATAATTACTCATGATTTATTAGGCATCCTTCCGGATACCGCTATCTCTACTCTCTTATAAGTCATATACCGGCAAAGAAGTAGCTGCACGTATTATTGAAGCTTATGAGTGGGCTGAGGTCGATCATTACAGAGCCATAACTCATAACAAAGGCATAATGAATGGGATTGATGCTGTTGCTTTGGCAACAGGCCAAGATTGGCGTGCTATTGAAGCCTTAGCTCATGCATGGGCTTGTGATGGAGTAAGAAATGACCATTCTCAGTCCAATAATTATCGTCCTTTGACAACATATTGGGTTGAAAAAGATGATCAGTTGGCAGCATGTGGGAATGAAGGGGATGACTGCTTAATGTTTTGTGGGGAATTGGAATTGCCCATAACGGTTGGTACCGCTGGCGGTGTTATAAATACAAATCCTGCTTATTCATATAATATAGGAATCATGGGAAACCCTAACGCAAGAGACCTCTCCATGGTATATATTTATGTGCATTATCCTTAACATTGTTACTTTTGATCTAACTTCTAGGTCTCTTTCATTTCTAGATCATGGTATGTATAGGTCTTGCACAAAATTTTGCTGCTCTCCGTGCACTTGCTACTGAAGGTATACAGTGTGGACACATGAAATTACATGCTAACAACATAGCCTTTACAGCATTACGTTGTTATGAGGATGAAACAAATAGCAGTTATCCATCTCACATTGTCACGAATACTGTACAAAGAATGATAGAAAAAGGTAGTATAACGTTAGCCACAGCTAAGGAATTTATAGAAGAATCTCTATCTGGGTCTATTAATACCAAAGTTCAGTGCACTTACATGTAATATTTAAGGGCCTTATATTTAATTAATAATAAAGACTGTCTAAGGTTTTAACCAATTAAATTTTTGTCTGGAGCGAAGCGACAGACTTATACTTCTATGCCCTTTGATAACCAAAAATTCGGTTTTGATTCATTTATATTAAAAATATCAAAAAAAATGGGGTTGGCATTTTCTGGATGGCACGCCAAGTTTTTATATAGTAAAGTCAAAATTTTTCTAAGTAAATCGATCAAAATATAGGGATGTTTTTCGGTCTTTCGGGACCGAATCCTAACTGGTCCTTACAAGGACCTGCAGGATCGGTAAGGACTTGGTCCTATACATTTTATAGGACTTGGATTCTGAATTGAATTATTATAACAATACAAAATTAATTTAATTGGATGAACTTATTCGATAGATTCAATTTAGGATCTGTACAGGATCTAAGTCATATAAAATGTATGATTAAAATGTATTGTATTTTCATGTGATTTAAAGGACCGAGTTCAGGACTGTCTTTTTAGATCCTAGGATCGGATTCGCAATTTAACATTTCTATCAAAATACATATGGGGCGTTATCTATTAAAACAGCCCTTTTTTGCAATTTTTCGAAACATGCGTTTTTATTGAATTCTTATAAATTTTGACATGATTGACATTTTTCAATTATAAATGAAAGTCGATTTGCATAATAAAAATTTAAGATAATGTTAAAGAAAAATTACACGAGGCTGCCCAAGGCCAACCCATCACGAGATTACCCGATAGTCACCTGTTACCTTTAACCAATCAAAATCGTGAAATTTATTAATCCCGGATCAGTCCGAAAATCAGAACAAGTGATTAAACTCAATTATTTAAAAATGAGAAATATATAAAAAAGGGTTGTTTTAATTGATAACACCTCATATATGGAAGGGAGTTAGTAGAAAAGGAACAAATTATTTTTAGTAAAATTTAATTTTTAAATTAAAATAATAATTATTTAATCAAATTTGTTAAAAATTTTTTTATTTTAATCTTGAAATTATATAAAATTAAAATAAAAAAATTATTAAATTTAATAAAATAGTTGAGATATTTAAGCTTAAAGTTAAGAAAACTTTTATTTAAAAAAATTTTATCTTTTTTCTATTAATTCTTTTCTATATCATAAATTTATATACAAATATATTAATTTTTTATTAATATTTTTTATTTTATGTTCAAAAAAATCAATTAAAATTCTTTTATAAATTTATATTTAATGATCATAAAAGTAAATAAAAATTATTGTAATTATATAAAAATTTTAAAATATATGTATTTTAATCTTTTGAACAACTTAATAGTATATAATTGATTTTCTTAATAAAAATTTGATTTTACTATATAGTACTTATTATAAATTAATTAAAAAAACAATTATAATCAAATTTTTCTAAATGCATAACTATAGAGCAATATTGTATATAAAAGTTATTTTATTAAAATTGTACAAACAGACAGTTCTGAACAGTATTACATATTTTAAATAATGCTTTATATTCATGATAATTATCTTATATTATTATCATTATTTTGTTTTTATTATTAAAAACTAATTTTTTTGTTTTGAAGTTTTTTTTTTAGTATTAAGATAACCTTTTGGTCTTTGACTTTATTTAATAATGATAAATGTAGTTTAGTGAACTACTACAGGAAAAGCATACAATTGGTTACATATATAATTTTCTATTTTATTAATTTAAGAAATCTATTTGAAAGTTTTTTATCAATTGTTATACTTAACATTTCTACTTAGATGTTCTATTTTAAACTTTTTGAATCTGCAAACCTGTTAACTTCACTAGATTATATTTGATGTCCAGATTATCATCTCAACCTTAGAACTATTTTATTCTCAAAGTAAACTCTTTAAAGTCTTTTGTATTTATTTTTATAGCTGATCTAGATATCACTATAGCAAAACTAATACTTGTAGTAAAAACTTAACTATTAAACTACTATGTCTTTGTAGAGTTTACTTAGACCTTAGCATTTACTTCATAGCATAACCCCAGTACTTTAGTATACTTCTGCCTTTTCACCTATCCTTTTACTAAACTTTCAATCCAGATAGCTTATATAGAACTATGATCAGTTCATTAATATATTAGATTAGTCTAATATTTTTTTTTTTAGTTTGTTTTAGCAACCTGATTGGTAATACTTCTAAAACTCCTAATTCAAAGATTCTTGCCCATCTAGCTACTATAACTAGGTACTATAACCTTGGTATTCATTTCTCTAAGCTAATCTTTATAATAGGACTATCAAAGATCCAGCTATCTTTTTATTAAGATCTTCCTAAATAGACTTTTTGTTACTTAATTTTAACAAATTTATATGACTATCTTTCAAATTTTATAATATATATTATTATATAAAAATTTTTATACATTTGTTAATCTTTTATATTGCAGAAAGTTTTAAATTAAGAGGATAGCGATCCTAGTGTAGTGGTTGGGTTGTTATCCTCCAAGTGGCAGGTCTAAGGTTCAAATCCCACCTACGACGAAATT